AAATTCATTGCAAAATCATAAATCTACAACCTCATAGTGTTGTGTGGTTGGTGTGAGTCTTGTTCCACTCAGACGGTGCTTTTTTTTACTGCAGAGTTTAACACTGTTGCTCAGCTAATGGCACCAGAGTGCTTGAATATAACAAAATAGAAAAAAGACTGGGACTCTGTGGTTGTATGCATCTGCAGGTCAGAATTTGGCAAATTTCTGAACTTTAAACTTGAAGTCAAAAAGCATTTAGAGGTTCAGAAAATGACACATGTGCTTAAATATACTCACAATGATTCCTATTAACTGCAGATATAGCCTTAATGTAAAATTGCTTGCATTTAACTAATTTCATTTTTAAAAAGCAATAAAACAAACTTCTTTTATTAGATAATGACATAATAAAAGGCAAGTAAAAGCCCATAAAAGAGATAACTGTACTCTAAAGATCTATATTATTTAACATGTGTCCTAACCTGGGTCAAATCATCTGAGCTAAATCATTAAAATCCCAGAAGAAACATACAATATGTTTCTTTGTTGTTCAAATGCTGGAAAGCGAAAAAAAAAAAAAAAAGACTTTTTATTGAATGCAAAAAATGTAAAAACTAACTTATTGGTGCATGTAAAATATTTTTTAATCTACATTTATTATGATTCAAACTGACTATTAGCGTTTTTAACACTTATTAAAAAAGCAAAAAAAAACTTCTTTGAATTCAAACAATGGGATCGGTTCAGAAAGCTTAAAAAAAACCCTGCAGCATCTGGACCCAAAATGCATAAGTTATGCTATGTTAAATTAAGCAAAATAAAAAACAGAGATATAATATAGCTCTACATTTGACTTTATTACCGCACGTGTGACTTTTAGGACAGAGGCGAAGCGCGTTCAATGAAAGCACTGCTGCATTTATGGTGGTGTCTCCAGAGGGGAGATGACATTCCAGGCAGACAGTGTGGCAGATCACGTCCGCTGACTGATCCCAGCAAGTGGAAACAGATGTGAATATTGACAGAAAATGACTGGAACCTTTCATTTTCAGATGCAGCCCACTCAGCAGGTGGATGCTCTGCAAGCATGGCTGTGTGTGAGAGTTATTATTCATTAGTAAACTTAGAAGTTTCCCTTTTAGAGCTATGACACTAATCCTTTCTGTGTATCTAAAACGAGCTGCTAGCGCAGCAGCTGACAGCTAATTCTTTGTGAATATATGATAGATTACACTGGATAATACAAGATAAAGCCACCTAAACTGGCAGCCAGTTTTATTTAACATGTTTTGGGATTTAAAATCCACTGTTAAAGCTTTAGAAAGCTACAGATTCTGTTTTTACCTTTCTTTTTCAGGCAATACTGACCTGTGTAAGTACAGAGTTTTAAAATTATGAAATTATTTATTGTTTAAACAACAGCTGCAGTCATGAGTCTCTAACATCCTTGTGGAACAATTTTGACCTACTCTGCTTTGCCTCATTGGTTAAACTCAAACACATTTGAGAGTTTCAAGCATTATTGACCTGCTTAAGGTCAAGCTACATTAAAATTAGTAGGGACTTTGATTAGGCCATTCTTGTTTTATTTTTGAAACCGTTTACATGTGATTCTAATGGTTTGTTTTGGATGGCTAATAATTGAGACTCTTACTCTTAACCTCTTACACCCTCAGGGGGTATAAATAAATTTCTGCCTGACAAAAACACACAAAAGTAAATCACTTATAGCCTCACAGCTATTAAATTTAAGAAGAAACTTTTGGTACGTCTGTAAAGGTAAGATGTCATAGAATGGTTTTCTGGTGTCAGCACCATTGTAGCTTTGACCCTGCCTGAAATATTAGGGACAAAATACAAAATATTTTGCATTTTTTGAACCTAACCAAAATTTTCTTTGAAATAAACATTGCAAAACACTACCAAAATATTATTTATAGCACAAAAAAGTAGTACAGACTTTTAAATCTAAATGTTGTGTAAAAATATACCAAATTTGGACTCAATCAGATGAATCATATTTATTTTAGAATGATATTAGTGAGAAATTTCTTAGGCGGAGAGGCCATTTTGGCACATTTATCCAAAAATGTCACCAAACTGTGCCAAATATGTTTTTTACATCAATACTGGGGGTCTGTTAAAATTACGAGGTCACGTAGCAGCTGGACCCACCGGTGGGTCCGTAGGGTTCTAGGGGTTAAAATAGTATAATTAGATAATATGCATATAAAAATAAGACAAGGCAATTGTTTTTTTTTTATTTTAAATGTAAATTTTCTTGTTCCATTTGCAAAGTTTCTCACTTACCTCCTCAATTCAAGAAAAAAATGCACTTATTGTAAGAAAAAATTACTTACTTAGATTTTCAATTTTTTGCAATGTGATGTTAGATGTTTTTCCTCAGGATATTTTGCAAGTGAAGACCTAACCTGACATCATGCACAATACAAACCAGTTTAAGCTAAGTTTTTATGAAGACATATTGAAGCATGTTACCTGAAGCATTTAATGGTATGTGGAGGATCTTCCGGAATTTTTTATAAGACCCACCTTCTCCACTTTAAGAAAATGCACATGCACAACCCTGTACCCGCTCCCGAGAGGGAAGGCCTATTAAACATGTGTGAGAGCGTGCACAAGCCAATTTCTCCTCATGCACGCCCTGTTTACAAGTTGCTGTTCTCATAGCTCATACAAGCGTTCTGTGTCCGAACGTCCACCCTAAACCCTTAATCCCTCAATAGAGCGGGAACTATATAGTGGACTTTATAGCGAACTCTGTTAACTGACTATTCAAACAGATGATCACTGCTTTTTGCTCCATTGGTCGCGTAACTCTTCCATTACCACGCGGTGCCTACACCATATTTGTTATTATTCGCCGCTGTCGGGTAGCAGCAGCTTATTGCTACAGCGGGCCCTGTGACAGCAAATCCCATAATGCTTTGCGAGGAGAGCTCTACACGTAAAGCATTCCGAGATATATCTGCCGCTTCTGAGACCTTTTTTTTCCTTCTCATACACTACGTAGACACTTTTTCTCTTACGACTTTCGGTCATTTTCAAATAACCGCGGTGAGAAAGGTGAGCTTCAATGACTGTCTGAAACCGTAGCTCACCACAGATGTGCGGCCGAAAGTGTGCACGTGCAGAAAAAGATTGCTAACAGGGCGAGCACGTAGGTCGGCCTTACGTAAACACATCACCAGAATGATTGACAATTACGAGGTCCACTAATTTAGATGATCCACCAGGAAATAAAAGATTGTCCTCTACACCTTTAATGAGGCAGTCAGCCTGATCAGCAACCCTAAAGGCAAAGGGTAGTTTTTCGTTCTACATCAGGAAAGTTATTTAAAAACAGAAACGGCATAATCAACATTAAAGCCTATGCTTTCCACACACAGAGGAAGAATAATAAGGGACACGATCAGGCTGGCTGTGAGCGAAGTTGTGTCTGAGGTCTTTTCCAGTCACAAATAGCGGGTGAGAGAATACAGTGCATAAAAACTGGAGGATAATAAAAAATGAATCATTTTTTATTACATGAATGATCAGGCTCTGTATAATTATTTGCCATCCCAACATTGCCTTTGATGCAGTTTATTTCTACAAACGTTCGTAATCAATCAAGCAACACAAGCATTTTCCAAGCAAAACATAAGTAAACACTGTAATTATGACAACAAGAAAGAATTGTTTATTACCTTCATAGAAATGAACGGCCGGTAGCTGCCATTGATTACTGTCATGTTCAGCTGCTTACAGCAGACTTGTTCATGCTTTAAGACTTCTTTTTTGGTTTTTGGAATATAATAAACTGTCTTACTGCAGGGTGAGCATATCCGACTTTCATGTTCTTCACTAGCCTTTAGCCTTTTATTGAAGGACTTTTTTTTTAATGAAATTAACATTTCCGCCATGCCTTCCTAATCTTCTGAAAGTTGTCAGAGGCACAGCTGCTTCTGCAAGGGAAGGGCGTTTCACTTCAGGAAAAATCGCAAATTTCACATTGGTCAGTTGCTGATAAGTCTCCAGGATATATTGACAGGTGGCGACTCTTTATTTAAGGGCTCCTTTAATTTCAGGAAGCCATCCAGGTTCTACGAAGCAAAGTAGGCACTCCCAGACTATTGCACACCAACACCAAGTTTGACTGTTGGAAGGATGTTTTGTTTCTGAAGACTGTTTTGTTGTAATTAGTTGTCTTTCACTAAAAATATTCCCAGACATTTTGAATATAATCAGGATTTTATTTTATTTTTTTGGTAAACCTGAGCTTGCCTTTTTTTTTTATGGGTTGTGGAGTTGAACCTTTCCCATGGAGACCATTTCTATTCAGTCTCTCTTTCTTGTAGCAGAAACCTGACCTCTGACCTAAGGCAGTGAGGCCTATAAAGCTTTCATTGTAGTTCTAGGTTCCTCTAGGTCTTCCTGGATGAGTCGCTAATGAGCTCTTGGATTAATTATGGAAGACCACCCTCTTCCAGGAAGGTTCCCTGTTGTCCAAAACATAAAACATTTTCTATAGCCCTTTCAAAAACGTTTATTCTAACCTGTACTTGGATTTCTTTTGATTAAAGAAATGTTGCTTTTGAGATCTTTCAGCCTACTTCATCTTCTCTGACAGGTCACTGACTGATATGCATGGTCTAACAAAGGTGCAATGACTTTTAAGCAAGGTTAAGCTGGTTGGAAATATTTTTTTTATGTATTTACACAGATTTTATTAATCTGATACAAAAAAAAAAAAAATACATTTGTATATTACAAATCTGTAAGCACATATGCAAGGTAAAATCCAAAAGCGTCCATTTAAATGCTCTTTGCTGACGTTACCTCACTGATCCTGTTCCTAAATCTGTCATAAATACATAGATGCTCAACACTTGCATCTCTGGGAAGCCATGAGTTGAGATATTTAACCTAACGTTATCTAAGATGAGAACACGGCGATACGTGCACGCATAAAGGCCGACAGCATGTGTCAAACAAGTCAGTTTGTGTCCACTTACTGACAGAAAGGCAGCAGAGACAGCAGGGTTTCTTTATTGGGGCGGGCTGTGAACTCCGGCAGCGCCTGGATCAGTTTGTTCATCACCATGCGGAGGTAGCCCTGCAGCTGCTTCCTCCGTTCCTCCACAAACTTGGCATCCTGCAGACAAAAGAAGATGAACATAAGAAGAGGGAGGGAGGAAGATTTAGCAAGAAATGCACTCATCTACATCTGTAGAATCTAAAAACATGTCTGCTCATAGAAAATCCACACTGAGCTTTTGTGGAGGACTAAACGTATATCTCTGCTGTTGCTGATGTGCATTTATCAGACCCACTTTCACTGAGCCCCTCTGGAGGCAGAGGCGAGGAGCCACATGGCCAGAGTTAGCATGGCTAATCAGCATCCAGCTCGGCTTAGAACAAAGCCTGGGCAATCCTCCCTGTTACTCCCAGGGGGCTAGGATTGGAGCGCAGCATTGGTGGGGAAGCCAACAACCTGTTTTAAAAATACTACTCTGCTTTTGATCTGCGATGCAGGTGAATCCAATTGGTTCTCCCCCTAAAATACAGCAGCTATTGCACAGATTATTCTGCATCAGAAGAAATAGAAATTTGTATTAACGGAGCTGGATAACAGGTTAATAAGGACACACTTGATTTTAAAAGAATAAAGACCCAAAGTAAAAACCATTTTAACAGTAGAGGGTGGATATTCATTAGTAAGCAAGTGCAAGAATCCATGGAGACATTTCACTTATCTATTCATAGTTAAACTGCTTGGATTTGATTCTCACATCAATCTAAAATGGACATAAGGATGAAGAATGCTTCTAAAAGCATAAACTCACAGAAAACAGCTCTATAGGAAAAGTTTGTCAAATGTTTTTGGACATAAAGTGATACAGAGTGAATACGAAGCTGGTAGTCACATGGTTCTGGTTGAGATGATCTTCTTCCTCCTGCTGATGGGAATTAAATCCTTAGCTTGTTTCCATAGAAAGTACCCCTGGTTACTGCCTCTGCGTTCCTCCTCTACTGTATGTCTCTTTTTCATCGACAGAAACGTGTTTCATCAAAAACTGATTTATAACTGCTCAGACCAGACCTGCATTTGTTTTTTTGTTTATTAAATGCATCGGGGGAATAAATACTTCACTAAAATGAAACTGAATTTACTTGCACAAGTTTCTCCCCATACCTTGTTGCTCCCTCAATCTAGAATCTGCTGTGATTAAAGACCAATGGCTCTAGCTGTGCTGAAGGTCTCTTAACATTACAGAGGACCACTCTTGTTTTACTGGTGCCATCTCGTTGCTCAGTGTGACCGATTGATTCAAAGCCAGAGACTTGACAATGTTCGACCTAAAGGGCTTCCTCAGATAATAGCTTACTGATACATATGTGGACCAAACTGTATGCAAATAAATGAATGCAAATTAGTGCAACATAAACAAAACTGAAAAGACTATAAGGTTTTGAGAGAAAATCCATGTCATGTATTGTAATTCCCAAGAGGCTCCATTCGATTTTATGTTTTATTCAAACATTTTATTTGTTTTTTTTTTTACTTATTTTTGAGGCTGTGAGAAAACTAAGCCTTCTGGAGATTTTTCTTTCCATCCAGCAGCAGAGCTATATCGGAGCTACTGTACCTCAGAGAGCTACAACAAACCTCCAACAGAAATAACTTCTGTGCTGCCTCGCCATCAAACCTTTGCTGTTTCAGAGTAAACAAAAACAAAACCATCATGTCATAGTTTTAGAGTTAGCATGGAAACCAACCACATCAAATACGTAAATCTTTTTTTTTCACATTACACCCTTTTTTTAAAACAAGAAATTACAAAAAGAAGAAACAATAAAGGTAAACATGAGGGTAAATGATGAAAAAGGAATAAGTAAATAAAGGCTATAGACGACAGGGTGGATGAAAAGGAGCAGTGATGGAGCCAATTATATCCAGTTATCTCGAAATCGAAATCAAATCCAAGACCAGACCCTTCCAGATCAGGACAGAGACTGCACCTCCAAGACCGAATATTTAGAATTAACATATGCTTTGGGGCATTGTTTGTTTAGTTTAGTTTTACAGCATGAAATGCAAAATTAAAAAAATATCATTGTTAAACTAAATCTAATGCTTGGTATATAATAATTATCCCGATAAACTAATAAGTTACTGCATGCATCAATATAGAATCTATGAACTAAATTCATCAGTTTTCATTGCTTTTTATAGAAAAATGAAAAAAACCTCAAATGGAATATTCATTATAAAAATGTGTGAAAAACAATATTACCTTTCAAAGTTTCTCTTTGTTTAAACTGTCATTTTCGAAGTGATGACATCTTGTTTCCCTCTTAAACATCTAGTTATCATCACATCTCTCACATCGGCAAACTGTTGATTCATAAGATGGACAATTTTACACCTTGTGTTGTTTTTTCTTCCCTTTTCCTTGTATTATTTTTGTTCTACAATGGTAAATGAAACATTTTTGAATCCGCAGACATTTTCTTTTGTTAGATAGACTGCTCCTTGAAGGTTTGCTGAAAGCGGTCTGCACTGACACAAACGCCCTCTTTTGTTGAGGACCAAATTACATAATCAATTCTGGTGCTGTAAACATTGAAGTGCAGCCAGAATTGGCTGTAATTATCAATTACATTTTTTTCTTTTCTTTTTTTTTTTTACCTGAGATGACAACATACAGCTATGCTCTCATCACTTGTGTTGCTTTTGCTTTTAATTTACATTCATTTTTTTTTTTTGCTTGTTTACTTTGTGTGTATTTGCTGCAAAGATCAAAAGAAGTTACGTATATTTTTTTTAGAAAACCAACGTTGATTTAAATCACCCTTGAGCAAACATTTCCAGGCATAAAACAAAACTGAGCCCAAGACGGAGGTAAAAACCAAGTCATAGACCCAGAAAAAACTGTCTAAAGCCTTCAATTCCTAAAAAGAACAAAGGCCAACGAGGACAGAAGAAACTAATTTCAGGATAAAATAATTATTCTTGTTTCTTAAAATCAATTCCATGTTTTTTTCCAGTATTTGGATGCACTGATGCACTGAGTCCAGAAAAAGCTGCATACCAAAGGTGAAAACACAGTGAGAAGAATTTCTGCAAATGTCTTGTCCACCAACGGAGGCTATTAGAAGTATTCCTGAGCAGATTTATGCAACATCATTTCAAGTCTGTCCTCAATGGAGCCTGCAGAAAGTTAGTAAATGTCATGCAGCAATGAGCCCAGAGAGAACTTGAAATGTTCAAATTAGAAAAAATGAGATAAGAGGTTCAGTGCTGTTTAGAGTAGAGCTGAAGTACCCTGTTTAGGACAGTAGGAGTGGATAACTACACTCTGCCACATGCAGGGAGAAATAGTCAGGGTAGAAGTGGGTAAATTGGATACGGGTTTCATGCTGTGTCAACACAATAAGGGACACAGAGGAACGCTTTCACACATTTTGAGGCACTAATGAGACTAATGAAAGTTGTGACAGATTCTTCCTGCAGACAGAGAGGAGGGGTTAGGAGGCCAGGTGTTTGTCAGTGAAGGTAATACTGGGACATATTTATACAGAGCAGGACTGAATAGATCCTCCAAGGAGCTTTCTGGGAACAAGTCCTTCTCCTGTATTACCTGCTGTATTAGCATTGTGATTCAATGGTGTCAGCTACATAAACCTCATTGGTCTACATATTGGTAAACAGAAAATACTGTTTAGATAGGTCAAGAAACAACTTACCGTAGTATTTTCCCCTTAGTAACATAAACAAAAACATAATTTGGAAACTGGTGTTCAAACATCTCTGTTGCTCTGGTTTAAAGAAATTAAATAAATTTAACCAAGTTAGCCTAAATAAAACCTGATGGGGAGGTGAGGCATTGGTAGAGGAATATCCAATTAATTCTGGAAAAATGTGCCAAACAGTTTTGGAAAGATTTCCAGCTATTATGTGTTTGCTGGCAGTGCTGCTGCTTCTACACGGAAGAGCTAATTATCTTGGCGGATGTCCTTTCTTTGTACATTGTCAGACAGAACAAGGCCCATCTAAAGCCAATGCTAACAAAGACAAACACCACCATTAACTGTATCAATGAAAAATTATAATACATTTATACAATAATAATAGAAATTATAAGACAGCCATAATTCAAAAATAAAATCCAAATAGGTTGTTTTTGCACTTTTGTAGGCACATCTGTTATAAAGTGGAAATTATTCACTTCTGCAACTGCAGCAGGTAGGTAACTAGATTTAATAAATATGGCTTTCTCAGACTGAGGAAGAAAGGAGTTTAAAATAACCTTTTATCAATATGGTCTGTCTCAACGTTTTACGAGCATTAAATATAGAGGTCTGTTCCTGAGGGGCAGTTTTGTTCTATAAAAATGTGATCTCATTGTGTCCCGATTGCTTGATTGACTCTATTAAATCAGAGCTGCAATTGCCAACAAAGTAGACATGTTGTTTGGGGGTGGGGGTGCATGTGCTAGCATTTAAGTGATTTGGAGAATCTTTTAATTAGATTTTTATCATTTCGACACATTTACTGATCCTATTTCTCCAAAAAGCACAGTAACAGTGAAGATGAATAGGGCGTACCTCACCCCTCTACCACTGACTGCTACTGATGGGTATTGGTACCCCAGAGAGAAAGAAAGAGGTTGGTTAGTTGGTTTCTTTCCCAGTGGGAATTACACCACAATCAAAAGATAAAGCTTTCACTTCAGCAACTGGTGATTTCTGGTTATTTTAACACTATATACTGAGTTTATGGTCCCAAAAAGAGAGAAAACATCCAGAGAGGAGCAGCTTTGTAGATGAAAATACCTCAAACAGGCAGATTAATTCCAGAAAAAAAAACTAGCTGCATCTTCTGTCAGCTAAAAACAGGGAATTCTACAGTATGCATTCCAATCATCCATTGTAAATAAAAACAGAAAACACCCCCAGGACTTCTGGCTGCCTTCTTTGTACCTTCAGACTGGCTGAGATTCTTTGTTAACCTAATGTCAACATGGGAAAGTCTCAGCAGCTTTGTTGCACCAGTACACATAAAAGCATTGATATATTAAGAGCTTCTACAGATCAGTGGGTTTATCCACCAAAACAAACTCTGGCCAAACATTCCCTCCATTTAAGAAA